TACCCCACTGAGCTCAGGCAGAGAGAGCCCCCCCACAGGGTGATTGAGTGCCACAGCCTCTCTTCCTCAAGTGCCCCCTCCAGTTCCTCTTCCTCCCCCTGGTGCCCATGCCCCTCCCTCGCTTTTCCACCAAGTCCTGCGGAGGCTTTTCGGGTACTGCCTCCTCCCACTCCCACTCTGAGGCCCGGAGAACGAATGGGTGGGGCGGAGGTGACTGGCCTGTTTCACCCATGGGAGAGTACATCAGCAGGGCTGAGGACCGTGGCAGCCAGAGCTGATGTCATTCTCACTGGTGGGAGGAGGAGGTGAGTGGGGAGGGAACCAGCACTCCTACACTGCAGAGGGGAAAGAGGTCTCAGATCTACCCAGGTAGGCAAGGGAGCTCAGAATTGTGGCTGCCTGGTAGACACCGTATCTTTGTTTCTCTGGCTGGTTTCCAGATCTGGTCTCTGGATTTGTGTCTCAATATGACTCAGTAGATGCCCCTCAGCTCCTCCTCTCTAGACCTAAAACACACTTAAAGGGGACTCTTAGTCCTTTTCCTCTCTCTTTTGTGTCTTTATAAATCTCTCTTCCCTCCCATTTCACCCCTTCTCCCTTAGTTGAGCTATGTTGGTCACCTGCTCCCCCGCTCCCACTCTCATCTCATATCATAACACAATATGATCCCAGACTGCCCACCAAGGCAGGGACTCATTCAGAGCCTCTTTTCTCTTCCCCATCCCTCCTTGAAATCCAACTGTCCCTCTGGGCCAGAGGTCTCTGGGGTGGCACTGAGGTAGGGGAATGGCTGGGCCTAAGAGGGCAGACACAGGACAGATGGAGAGTCCAGTGAAGTAGGAGAAGGACAGGAAGATCAAAAGAGAAACACAGTGAGAGTGAAAAAGTGACTGGGAGACAGAGGGGCAGAGGCTAAGAGTTAGCAGAAAGCTAGCATAACAAGCTGGGAGAGTGAGAGAAACATAAAGAGAGCAGCGAGACTGGGAGCAGAGAAAAAGAAAAAGAATGGAGAGAGAAGGACGGGAAAGTCACAGCTAGAGAAGGCAGCTGGGGAGGGCTGGCATGGGTCAGGCTGGCTCTCCTGGACTCGCTCCCTCCTGATGGGCCATAAATCTGTGTGTGTGCGCACACTGGTGTCTGTCTGTCCATCTATGTGCATGCACGCACTGCACGTGTGTGCAGGGGTTGGTGGTGGGCAGAGGGATGATTCCCACAATATCCTCATTCTCATTTGTTTTAGGAGTCTCCCTCCTTGAGGCACCCCACATCAACCCCTCATTTCCCAGCATTCCTGATGCTCCAGGGGCCATTCCCAAGGTATTTCCACATCTCAGGAATCCTGGCTTTCTCACTTGGAATGCAGACCTGCTGGAATGTGCAGTCAGAATCTACAGAATCAAGAGGCCCCGTCCCCTCACTGCCCACCCCCATGCCTGCTCACCAGCTGCTCCTGTCCATCTTCTCCTCCCACTCCTTGTAGCTCTCCCTCCTCCTCAGCGACCCTCCCCCCAGCCTCTTACCCCTAGCTGGCTGGGGCCCAGGTTGGAGGGGAGACAAAGACAGGATTTATCACCGGGATAGAGAAGCAGCCAGAGACCAGGGCGAGGGCAATGGCTGACCTCCTGGGATGGGAGGGAGTGCTTCACCAGATGCCGGCAGGCTGGAAGCCTGGGTTCCAATGGCTCTTGCTAACAACCCCCACCTTTCCCCATTCCAACCTTGTTCTCTTCCCTGTCCCTGGAAACTTAGGAAACAGAGAGAGGATGGCCTCCAGATGATTTTAGGCCTCTGAAGGAAAACCTGGGAGGAGATCGATGTCTTAGGGTTAGTCTCTTACGGATACTGAGGAGGATTTGGAAACCAGGGAGCAATCAGGCAACGATTATTTCCAAGCCTAGAAGAGTTCAGGTTTAGCACTGCAACAGATGAGATGGAGAGGGACTTCCTCTAAAATAGAGGGACTTCTCTCAAGAACAGGCCCTGATTACCAGTAGAGAGAGAGAAAGGTGATTCTCGGTCCAGAAAGATGGGAGATAGGGTCTCACCTGGAAGAAAAGGGTTACTAGCTCCAGTCCCTGAGGCAGCCTTCCTTCCTGAGGTCCCCCACCTGCCTCCTGAGAGGTATGAGGAGTCGCTGGACCCTGCCTTTACAGTAAATAGACGATTGGCCTGAAATTTTCTCTACTCAGCAGGCAGGGCGTGTGCGCAGAGAGGGAAGGAACGGTATGATCCAGGAGTTTCCGAGAAACCAGACCATATATCTTCTAGCGGACAGCTCCTGTAGCTCTCCTAGCTGTCCTTGGAGGCCCACCAGCCCCTCCAACAGCTCAGTGTATCAGAAGCCTCCACAAACCCAACTCTGAAGCTCTCACACCCCTCTCAGCTCCTAGCACCCAATGCCCTGCTTCTTGCCTTCACCCTCCTGTCCTGGGAGGAAGCTGCTAGAGTTCCCTCCAACGGAGAAGGTGGTGGAGGGAAGAGAAACTGAGGTGACCCAGAGCTTCCAGCCTACCAGTCTCACCACAATCCCACCAACCCGTTCCCATCCGGGCCTGGTAAGGGAGACTTCTGTGGTTTCCTTCTAAATGCTTCGCAAGCTGGGACCATTCCTTCCGGTCCTGATGGAAAGCCAAAATTTGGGAATTTCAGTGGGAAGGGGTTATAAAGTGGGGGGAAGAGACTGAGAGAGCACAAAAGAAGTGGGGGGAGGGGTGGCACAGGGTAAGGATAAAATAGGAAAAAAGAAAAGATTCTCATTTTTTCCCTACTCCCCCTCCCCCCAGTTGAGAAGGCAGATTTACAGCCATGGTTTGGGGAGGGGGTGGCGAGCATAAGGAAGACAGATCTGCAGTTCTGCCCTCTGAGTGTCTGAGTACTTAGCTTTAACTCCCCCATTAGCATCAATCCCCATCTTGCTGCCCATCCGTCTTCTGACATCAGCTCCTTCCCCTTTCTGTAGCCCAGGCTTTCTGACCCTAAGTGGCTCTTAAAGGGCCAGTCAGACCCTTCTCGCCTTCCCTTCTCCCGCTGGAAGCAGCACAGCCTGGCGTGTGTATGTGCATGTACGTGCCTGCGTATGCACAGGCTCGCTTGTGTGTCTTTGGGGGCAGAGCTCCTCCCTAGCTCTCTCCGTTCTCTTTAGCCCCCCCTCCCCTTATATCAGGGACCCCATTTTTGTGCACTACCTACCCAAGCCCAGAGCAAGCCCTCTGCCTGGGCTGGGCGTCACAGCACATGGCTGTTGGAGCCGAGTGCTGGAGAAGGCACGTGGATCCCTGGGCAGATCCTCTTTCCTCCCTCATTTCCTGGAGGCCCGGGCCCGGGTGTTTTCATTCCCCGCCAGCGGTGGGGGTAGACCGGTTGGGGGTTGAGGCTCCTAGGAGATGCCCCAGCCTCCCATTCCCAGCCTCCTTTCCCAGGGACCCAGGCTGCGATGTGTGTGGGGGGGTGGGGGGAGAGAAGATTTCAAATCTTTCTCCCTGTGCGGGAGGTGACTTGCCAAAGAAACCTGCCTCTGCATTTCCTGGCCATTTTTCTATTCCTCAGCAACGGAGCTCAGGGCAGCAGAGGGGAAACTGGCTTCTCCCGATTTCTCTCTATCTTCTGCAGAAATGCTGTAACTGCACTCCAGGGGCTATGTGAATGCCGGATGCTTGGAAAGTTCCTCTCCCATCTGCCTTCCATCCTTTCTGCTGCAAAGATCTGTGGTCCTCCGAGGGGCTCTCCAGGAGTCAACCCCCTGCCCGATCTGTGAAACTCATTCTCCACCGCCCTCAGGGCCCCCTGCTCTGGCTCAGGAGGAGAGGGAGATGCTGGGTGGGGGCCTGGGGAAGGTGGCCACGCTAAAAATAGGGGCTCCCAACGGCACCCCCAGCCCCTTATTTATCGCCTTCCAAACCCCTCTCTCAAAGAAGCATAAATACGCATTCCTAATCCTGAAGGCCAGCCCTGAGCTCATAAATTTGACTGGGGAGATGGGCACGGGGGAGGGGCGCGGTGCGCGGGAACGGGGAGCCCACTGCGACTCTGGGGAAGCGGACCGTCCCGGCCAGAGCCCGGGTTCCGAGGGGAGGGATGGTGTCTCCCTCAGTAGTCACTCTGGGGGAGGCTTTTCTCACTATCCCCCCAACAAATAAAACCCTTGGCGCCGTCTTCTCCATCAGTGCTCATCCTCCCTCCCTCTCTTGGCTATTGCCTCCTAGTCCTGTCCTGCTCCTCTCTCGCCTCTACTGAGCTTGTCTCTACGTCTCTGCTCCTCTCATCCTCGCCCTTTCATTGTCTGAAGAGCACATTTTCCGTCTTATTCAATCTGGGCAGTGCTGCTTGAAAAGTCCCTCTCAGTCCCCGCTTCAGCCATTTGCCGCCTTCAGTGCCCTTCCTTTCCAACCTCCTTCCTCCCCTCACCTCACCTCCCTTTTCCCTCCCTCAGTCTGTGCTCCTCAGCTTTCCCTTTTTTTTTTCTTAAATCACCCCTTTGGCCTCCTCAGTTTCCCCTCAGCGTTTCAGCGCCGTATCCTCTCCCCCTCTTCAATCGTCTCCCCCACCCCCCCTCAGACGCCTCCGCCCGCGTCTACACCCTCCGACCCCCAAGTTCCCCTCCCGCCGGGTGAAAGGGAAGGGGGAGGGGGCTTGAGGCGCAGGTAGAGGGAGCGCGGGGCCTGGGGGGAGGGAGAGAAAGGAGAAAAGGGGGAGCGCGGGCGGAAGCGGGGGCGAGGGGAGGGGCGTCTCACTCCCCGGCGGCGCCCCCCTTCCCCGCAGTCACTGAGCCGTAAATCAGGGCCGAGGCAGTTTGGCCAATGGTAGAGCGACTCGTAAATCGGCCTGTCAAGCCCAGCCAATGAGAGGTGGCGTTAAATCAAGTCCTGTCAGCGCTCGGCCAATGAAAGGCCCTGGGTTGACCATAAATCTGCCTGAAGGAGACAGCGACGGAGAG